TCTGGGGCGGAAATTTGCACCTATGAACTGACCATGCTGCACTAAAATGGCTATTGCAGTTTAAAAATCCAGAAGGACAAGTTGCGAGGTGGATTGAACTACTACAGGAATACGACTTTGAGATCGAGCATCGCAGCGGGAAATCTCATGGTAACGCAGATGCATTGTAAAGAAGACCTTGTCCTGAAGATTGCACGCATTGTACTAGGCAAGAGAGTAAAGAAACGGTATCCGTGAGGATGCTCAGCACAGACCACCTCAACAACGAATAGAAGGACAGCTTACAACATGCACAGCAAGAAGATCCGGACATCAAGCCGATTCTGGAATGGATGAAGGCCAGTGCTCCCAAGCCCAAGTGGAGTGACGTCTCAGCGATGAGTTCAACCACTAAAAGCTATTGGACCCAATGGAACAGCTTGCTGCTTCAGGATGGAGTTCTGTGCCGTAAATGGGAAAATGTTCGGGGGGACAGTAGTCATTTGAAAATGGTTGTCCCTAAAGCTAAAGTACCGGATGTTCTACAGCTGTACCATAATGATTGTTCAGGAGGCCATCTGGGAGTTAAACGATCGGCGCGGACGCGCCGAAATTTATTAGTGGAATAGACGACTTTTTCGAGGTTATATTTACTAAATAAAATTATTTTAGATTTTAGAGCTACTGAGCAGTTTAGCAGCATACTTCTCACCGTCGACAACTGCTAAGTTCATTTCCTGTAGATGTTTCCTATAGCTCCAAATATTTTTAAATTCCATAGATTATTGCCAAAAGATATCATTAAATATTTTAAAACTATTGATGTTAAGAAAACGGCAGACTTATGGGGGATTTCCGTTAAAGTTATTACATCCGTAATAGATACAATAGCACCTTATCTAGCCGATATTTTAATACAAGCGTCGAAACTGGTGTTTCCTGATTTAATGAAACATAGTAAAGTTATATCGTTATTAAAATCTGGTAGTACATCAGACCCCGCCAATTTTAGACCAATTTCTGTAGTACCAACTTTAAGTAAAATTTTAAAAAAAATTATTTTACATCAGATGATGAGTTTTTTTTTAATGAAAATAAATTGCTCCATACAAGTCAATTTGGTTTACAAGGGGTCGCCCGACAGCCGATGCCGGAGTTGAGCTTATAAAAAATATTTTTTTGTGCATGGGAGAATTCAGAGGATGCTTTGGGTATATTTTGTGACCTTTCCAAGGTCTAAGGATAAGTTCAAGGATTTTAGACCATACAGCCTTGTATGGTTTCTAATTTGTTCAATAAATTTCACAATAAATGCTGATGCGTCACATTGTAAAGTTCATGTGAGATTTTGACGACAGTTTTAGTTAGCTAACCATAATGATAATAGTTCAAAGCCTTTTTTAAGTAATCTAGATAATATAGTCATTTCTCCAATCGCGCACACTAATGCACATCTACAATGCACTCTAACCAAAAACAGACACGTTAAAAACCAAAAGGCCATTATGATAATTAGTCCAAGAATCCACTGGCCCATATCAGTTAGCTACTTTTGTTCTTCTTTGGATATCCTTATCATGTGAATGCGATGGTCGCAAGGGACCACTGCATGTACTCAATACGGAATCAGACATATAGGACCCCGATTAAGGAGTGGACACGCGCGAGGTCACGTGACAGGTAGCTATCGCGCGGACCCATAGCATGTACCGTGTGTAGCAAGCAGTCCGCATGACGGAGCGGTGCTCTCGTATCTTGAAAAAAAACAGACATACCACTTAACGCAGTGGGCGTCACTAGGCACGGACTCCACAAAAGCGGAGATGTGCGGAGATTTCCGAAGCGGAGACGAGAAGAGATGTTTTTAGCTAGGGTGTATCCACTGAAACTGTACTTGCTGGACTGATGCAGAGATGTGTGCTGGCTAGAGCGGAACTGGTTGAAATTAATACATAGTTTAGCGAAATCTGACCCGAAAGGCAAACGTCTCAGTCATGTCACTATTACAAAAACTGTATTTTATTACACTAGTAGCACCACTCAATGCAAGCCGCTCACATCTCTTCTCGTCTCTCGCCAGCTTCCGAGGTACATACAGCTCACATATCCTCTTCATAGCGCCGTACAAATATGATATATCTAAGCTCAGTGGTATCCACTGAAGCTGAGTGAAAATGAGATGTGTGAGTAATGAAATTCTAATGCTTGTTGTGAAATTCTATTGTAAAACACATCTCTCCTCTCGTCTCCGCTTTGATGGTGTCCGGTCCTATTAAATCAATTTAGCGATAGAATTAAAAAAATATTAGCAAATCAGTGCATTTATTTATTTATTTAAAAACTTACATGTAACACCTTAAGCTAAAGGGTACATAGGGCGGACTTAATGCCATTTTATACGTGGTAGAGCCATGCTGCAGTTATATTAGAAGTATAGTTATAGCACGAATGGATCAGCTCGACCGGGGTAGGACCACGCTCTCACAGAATACCAGCGTGAAATAGTAGCTTAATGCCGCTGTATTTCGTATGGTGAGTGTAGAGAACCGGAGACTCTTTTTACTGGAAACGAGGCATTCCATCTTAGTCCTCATGGGTGACAACGCATCTGCATTTTGATTTGTAATCGAGGATAGATGTAGATGTCTATGGGCCACAGCAACCACTTATCATCAGGTGGACTGTGTGCTCGTTTGTCACCCTATTAGGGTACTAGGTGTGTCATGTAATGTAGGTAGCCATTTAAGCTTTGAACGATAGGATGATATGTTGTCATACTTACGTAAACCAAAAATAAACATTATGGAATTATTAAGAAGGCGCTCCAACTTGTTTAGAAGATTTTCTGACAGATCTGGGTAACATACATCGGCATAGTCGATAATAGGTAGAATGAGGGAATGAGCCAGCGTAAGCTTGGTTTTTAAAGGTAGGAAATTTTTAAGACGATAAAGGGAACGCAATTTCCTGGTCATAGTTTTATCCATGTACAGGCCAAGATTTTTTATGGAATCACAATATGGAATCAAAGTTCCATTATAAATTACAGGAGAGAGATTTCCATAATCAACCTTAGCCAATAATTGCGAACTTTCGAATATTATAAATTTGCATTTGGCAGGATTAACAGAAACGTCATATTTACATGACCATTCTCTTATGGCTCCAGGTTATCATTTAGTTTGTGTATTACAAAGTTAAGATTATTTAAGCCTGACTGTACATAGAGCTGGAGATCATTCGCATACAGATGGTACGAACAATCTAAAACTGAGGAAATAGAATTTATAAATAAGTAAAACATAATAGGAGAAATTCTCCGCCTTGCGGCACACCAGATTCATTTTCAGCCCATGCAGAAAACCACTGACCTGAGCGAACTGATTGCTGGCGACCGCGAATATAAAAAGAAAACCATGCCAAGGCTGGGGATGAAAATTTAAGGTGTTTAAGGACGGATAGGAGGATACCTTGATCCACTGTGTTAAAAGCGTTTGAAAAGTCAATAAGCACTACCACTGTTAATTTCTGCTCATCTAAGCCCTTTCTTATATCGTCTGTGACTTTGATAAGCGAAGTGGTAGTACTGTGACCAGAGCGAAATCCCGATTGAAATTCATTCAGCAGGTTATGTTTTGCAGTGAATACAGATATTTGCTTAAAAACACAGGCTTCCAGAACCTTAGAGAGGTATGGGAGAATTGAAATAGGGCGAAAATGGTTAGGGAAAACAGGATTAGGTATTTTAGGAAGTGGTCTTACAAAAGCCTTTTTCCATGCTGAAGGGTATTGACCTCAGTCATTTATAGCTGGAAGAAGGCATTTAAGAATCATAGACACCTTTGCTTACTAATTTCATCATAACCCACAGCCTTGGATTTAATGGATAACAGAGCTTTTTTAATTTCATCCTGAGTAACAGGGGAGAAACAAAAGTCAGGGATTCGGAGAGGCTGCATTGATTCTATAGAAGCAATAGTTTGAGAACGAACTTGAGGATCCAATGAAGTAATAGAAACAAAGTGACGATTAATGTCATCCAAATTGAGAGAGGCGCCATATTCCGGAGATTTAGATTTATTAATTTCGATAGACTTGAGGAATTTCCACAAATCAGTGGGCGAAGAATTAGTTATTTTGTCATGAATGTAGCGGCGTTTAGCATTTCATACAACCTGATTGTATTTGTTTCTTATCGTGTTAAAGTTAGACCAATTTTTTTCTGAGCGATCCTTTTAAAACTTCTGGAAAGCCCGATCTCGCCGTGCCATTGCCACCTGTACCCCTTTAGTCATTCAGGGAGCAGGAGGACGCTTAACTTTTACATAATGTACCGGAGCATGAATATTATACAGATTCAGGATGCTATTATTTAGAAAGGATATTATTTTATCATCGACGTTAGGAGCTGCCACCAAAGGTCCAAAATCAATTGAAGATGCGTCTCTCCTGAGACTCTCAGTATTTATTCTTGAAAAATTGCGTAACTGCAGAAAAATTGGTTTCTATTTTGGAGGTTTGAGTTTATATGAAAAATAAATTAAGTCGTGACGTGAGAAACAGGGAGCAGAGAGCTGTCCAAACTGAATCACGCGATCAGAAGAGGAAGTAATGATGAGGTCAATCAACGAATCAACAGTGTCAGTATTTCTATGAGTTGCCGCCAATAGGAGAATGCAGAGTTTGACTGATTCAATGATTGATCGAAGTTTTTGGGAGCGAGAAGTATTTTTTAACAAATCTGTGTTGAAATCACCCATTATCATGCAATGTATGTACTCAGATCCAATGGTGTCAAGAGCCGTAAATATTCTTATAAATATTGCATTGTAAAATAAATAATTCCAACATGACTAAATCAATTTATTATAGCTTTCATGAGTTATCAAACAGATTACAATAAAACAGCATATAGAAATTGGCTTTTATAACATCATAAAATAAATTTTTTAAGCGTTCAAAATGTATGGACGAAATTTTACACAAAAATGTAACCAAGGTAACCAACAAGGTAACCTAATCTATCTGCATTTTGGTGTTGGTGGACAAGGAGAACCACTGCTACGACCTGCTGGTCCTAGACATGTTTCTAGTAACAATCCACAAACCAAGTAGGGATCGCAATCTCCGCTGGGCCGTCTGTCTTCAAGGAAGCCTCTACCCTTTTCCTTAACACTTCGTTGAATACGAATAGATACTTTTCTGTTGGCGATGCCCCAAGAAAATTTGTCAAAAGGAGCCGTTTCAAATTTTCCTGAGAGTCGCATTCGGTTTCCTAACTCATCAGTACTGTAATGTTTCATATGTTTCAAATGATTAGTTTCAAGTTTCTTAATGCATTCTTCAATAAATTTGTAACCACCATCTGAGCGCATTTTTTTTGTGCTAAAATTATGATGCATACCTAAACCAGGATGCTTAGGACCCATGGGCTTTGGATGATAAGTTATATCGACGCCATAAGATTCAGCAACTCGGGACATTATATAACGTGATATCCACAAATCATCTGGAGCCTTAATGCCCACTGTGGTACCAATTTGCCATTCCCAAGAAGAAAACATAACTTCAGCATTAGTACCCTCAAAATCACAACCAGCATAAAGACAAGCTTTAGCATGACATTCTACAATGTCGCGACCTGCCACGTACTTTGCTCCCACTCCACAGTATGAAAACTCATACTTTACAGCAGGAAAACCGCCACCTTTCGGCCACCCTAAACCCCAACCATCCACATCAAGCATAGTATATTCTTGCTCTAAACCAAACCAAGGTTCTTCGGCTTTGTGAAATTCGCATAAGTCGTTACAAAATTTTCTATTATTCGTAGCTACCGGTTTACCATCGCCTGCATAAACCTCGCATAATATTAACATATGTGGCTCCATCCTAAAAGGGTCTCTATATATGGCACACGGCTTTAGAATAGTATCAGAGTTATCTGTGGTAGCTTGTCCTGTGGAACTACCATCGAATGCCCAGTCTGGTGCTGCTTCTGGGGTATATGGAGTGCAAGTTAATATTTTGTCCTTGTTCCTCAAATTTATTCCGGATCCGTCAATCCATACATAAGTCGCAAGAATCTTGTTACAGGGCATTGGTAGTTTCACAAATCTGTCCATTACTTTTTTACTCAAGATGTGATTAATAGAACACTTCAACATATTTCGTTTAGGCATAATGCAGACACGTGTGTGATTAAAGATAACACTTAGTCTTTTTAAGCAAAACATAATTTTAAAAGATTCGCCTTCAATTATATTCAGTAATATAAAACAAATTATTTATGAGCATCTAATTGTAATTTCTTTTAAAATAAACTTACGAAAATTTGACACTAGACACAACCAGACATAAGACGTATTAATAATGGAATAAATTATTTTTAATTATAATTGAATGACGTCTAAAAACTTAAAACTCTTTACGTAGAGTAAAAATCTAACACAGTCAGTTAAAACGTATTTTATACTACAGGCACGTTTCTGCTAATAAGGCACATAATCTATAAGGATCACAGTCTCGAGCTGGCCTTCGATCCTCTAAAAAGCCTTTACCGTTTACTAATACCATCATTTGTAGTCTTATTGACGCTCCACGATGAGATACACCCCACCTGCACTAATCATACGACGCCTTTTAAAATTTTCCTGTTAATCGTTTTTTGATCTGTTCGCTATCACCAAGACCAAAGTTTTTAATAAACTTATCAAGTTGATCAGATAGTATTCTAGATGTTTTCTTTATTTCAGTAATTCATTTTATTTGTGCTTAAGTTGTGATGACATCATATTGGCGGTTGGTCCTTGCCCATTGGATTTGGATGATAACTTATAGTCAATCCAAGATGTTCCGCTATTCAATTGAGCATTTATGGGTCCATCCAGATTTCGTCGGCTGCCTTAATATCTAAGCTTGGACCAATTTGATATTCCTACGATCCTTTCATTACTTCCGCGTTACAATCTCCATAGTCCATCCCAGAGAATACGCATGCTCTGACATGGCATTCGACGATTTCTCTACCAGCTACATGTTCTCCATTCCCACAATACGAAAATAGTGATTTCAAAGATGCTATTAATAATGTGTCAGAATCATTAGTTTTTGCTTGATCAGTTGAGCTTCCGTCAAATGACCATTTCGGCACCATACTTAAGCCACAAGGAACTTTATCCAATTAAATTAAATTAATCCAATTAAATTAATTAATACCGCTTCCATCTATCCAAACATAAGTAGCAAATACCTTACCACTTAGTAGTAGTAAGTTAATATAATGATTATAACAAGCATTTATGGGAGTTTTGATATGAGATACTCCAGAAGTAAAATGCCTAAAATTACGCAAAAATGTATTTTGCATCTTGACCACGTTTTTACATATCGAATCCCTATTAATAATACATTTTAGTAACCTCATTTTAATAACAAAAAATCTAAACACTGAAATCCTTTAAAATACAAAATCCTATCCCAAAACCTGTTACTGATACTGTAGAAACAAAATTCTAAACTAGTAGGTTACGAGGGTGATTGACTATTTTGTATTTATTTAAAAAAGGCAAATAGAAAATAAAGGCTTTTTAATGAAAACCACAGAATAAATAATAGTACTACGTACAGAAATTTCACTCTTTTGATGTTGACTGCTTGCCGACGTTTAATAGTCTACATAATTATTGGCTTCGCTTTTGGATTTTGGATAAAGATGGATTTTGATGAGTTGATGCCTTCACTCAAAGCCACAAAGCACGGTCCTGAGCTACATGCATCCATCGACTTCCTGCATGTCTTACCAGGTCGTCACTCCATCTAGTGGGGGGTCACCCTACACTTCGCCTACCGGTACAAGGCTGCCACTCGGGAACCTTTTTTCCCCAACGGTTGTCAGTTCTTCGAACTATATGACCGGCCCATTGCCACTTCAGCTTACTAATCCCTTGGGCTATGTCGGTCACTCTGGTTCTACTGCGGATATCCTCATTTCTATGTTTATCACGCAGAGAAACCCCGAGATAGCCCTCTCCATAGCTCGCTAAGCGACTTTGAGCGTCCTCATACGGCCAGCAGTGAAGGACCACGTCTCGGTTCCGTAGGTCATCACTGGTGGCAACACGCACTGGTTGTACAACTTAGTTTTCAGATCTTGAGGTACACCTGACGAGAAGATGTGTCGTAATTTCCCGAATGCTGGCCAGCCGAGTTGAATCTGTCGGTTGACCTCTCGGTCGAAGTTGGACTTACCTACTATCGGACTATTTGTCCCAGGTAAACGTACTCGTCAACAATTTCGAGCTTAGTGCTCCCAACAACTACGGGCATATGTGTGACATGGATATTAAACGTGATCTTTGTTTTGTCCATGTTCATCTTAAGACCTATCCGTTGGGAGGCACTAGGTCATTGAGCATAGTGCTTAAGTCTTCCAGCGATTCTGCCATAAACACTATATCATCGGCAAATCGAAGGTGCGTGATGTACTGATGTTAATACTGTATCCTTTCCAGTTAAATAGCTTGAAAACGTTTTCCAATGCAGCGGTGAAAAGTTCCGAGGATATAACGGCACCCTGTCTTACACTCGGTACGGTTTCGTACTCTGGTTTTGAACTCGGATAGCCATCGTAGCCCTACTGTACAAACACTTTAACGTTTTAACAGTGGTAGAGTCACGCGGCAGCTTTGCTGTTGCACGTATGGGCCGGCTTAAAACGGGGTGATACCACGACCTCACAGAATACCGGCGTGAAAGCTCTGCTTCCGCGTATCGTCTGGTGAGTGCAGGTGGCCGGAGGCCCAAATCCCCCACTCATAAACATGGTAGCGGAATTAAATAATGATAGACTACCCTAGGAGGATACCGACACCCCAGGAGAATCCCTCGCTGAGCATCCACGACCATGTTTCTCCACTTCTGAGCGTGGGTGCTCAGGCTGCCCCGCGTATTCTGGGGGTGCAAAATTCCGCTCAAGACTATAACTGCTCGGGGCAAACGGAGCAAAAAGACCAAGGCGACCCCTGCCACGCTGTCCGTGAATTTCTGCAGTACCAGGGTGAATTTCTGCAATATCAGGGGACTTCACTCTAACCTAAACACCGTCCACTACCATCTCGAGACGGCGAGGCCGGCTCTGCTCTTTCTGATCGAGACGCAGGTGTCTTCTCCGGCTGATGTCTTGTATCTCTCCTACCCGGGGTACAAACTGGAACACACCTTTGTGCCTCGGGCTGGATTTTGCGTGTACGTCAGAGAGGACATCTGTTCTCGACGCCTGGGCAAACTTGAAGGTTCGGACCTGTCCATCCTTTGGCTACGTGTAGACAGCGACGACCATTCGCGCGTCTACGGGTGCCTCTATAGGTCCCATAGCGGTAATGCTGAAACAGACCGACTCTTCGACCACGTCCTGGCTACAGATTCGTTGCTACAGCAGATCCCCTCCGCAGAGATCGTGATCCTCGGCGACTCTAATGCCCATCACGCCGAATGGCTTGGTTCACGCTTAACCGATCATGCGAGGAGATCTGTTCATTATTTTGCCTAGGCATATGGTCTGACACAATTGGTTACTTCGCCTACGTGGATTCCAGATGTGGAGGATCATGCACCTTCCCTGTTGGACCTTCTGCTGACCACTCACCCGGACGGATATCAGATTTCTGTCGAAGCCCCTTTAGGGTCCTCGGACCATTGTCTTGTCCGGAGTGTGGTGCCACTCACGCTGAAATCGCGGCTGCATTCTGCAGGATGCTGACGTGTTTGGCACTATAGGTCAGCCGATTGGGATGGGATGCGGTCTTTCTTTGCATCCTACCCTTGGGGGCGGGTTTGTTTCTCGCCGGACCATCCCAACGTTGTTGCGGATTCTGTCGCTGATGTGGTACTTCAGGGTATGGAACTTTTTATTCCTTCCTTTGTGGTGCCCATTAGAGGCAAATCTCAGCCACGGTTTGGTCGCTCCTGTAAAATAGCATCATGCTATAAGTAGGAGTGCTACCAAGCCTGGACTGACGCATCAGCGTCCCGGTATGTAAACACCAGCGCTCTAAAAAAGAAGTATAATTCCGCCTCTAGGTCCTTCAAAGAGTCATTGCCAAGGCAATGTCAGAGCACATAGGCAGAATTGGCGAGAAACTAGTTCGTCTTCCTTCTGGAACCTATGCATTCTGGTCTCTCGCCAAGGCTGTCCAGGGGAATTTCTGTCAGCCATCTCTTCCAACTCTGCACAGGGAGGACGACTCACTGGCCCATACCGCAAAGGAGAAAGCCGATCTTCTAGGCTCTTTCTTTGCGTCCAACTCAACTCTCGATGAGGGGGGGGGAGTACGCCGCCGACCATCCCGCGGTGTGAGTGCTCCATGCCGGAAGTGCAGTTCACACAGCGCTCGGTTCGCAAAGCACTCCTCTCCCTAGACATCCACAAGTCGAGTGGGCCTGACGGAATCCCCATAATTGTGCTGAGGACGTGTGCTCCAGAGCTGGCACCGGTTTTAACGCGTCTTTTTCGGTACTCCTACCCCCTAGGCGTAGTCCCAAAATCATGGAAGACGGCTTTCGTCCACCCGATCCCTAAAAAAGGCGACCGGTCAGACCCGTCCAACTACTGGCCCATCGCCATCACCTCCTTGTTCTCCAAAACAATGGAGTCCATTGTAAACTACCAGCTCATGAGGTACCTTGAGGATCACCAGCTGATTAGTGACCGCCAATACGGTTTTCGCCGTGGTCGGTCAGCTGATCTTCTGGTCTACCTAACTCACAGATGGGCGGAGGCAGTAGAGGCAGTAGTGGGGGGGGGGGGCACTGGCCGTTTGTTTGGACATTGCGAAGGCCTTCGATGGGGTTTGGCACAAATCGCTTCTTTTGAAGCTCCCTTCCTATGGGCTTCCCGAGAAATTGTGCGATTGGAGCATCAAGGTCGTTGTAGACGTTGCAAGCTCCGATTGCAAGCCTATTAATGCTGGTGTTCCACAAGGCTGCGTGCTATCGCCAACGCTGTTTCTTCTGCATATCAATGATATGTTGCAAACCCGTAACATACATTGCTATGCAGATGACAGCACTGGTGATGCTCTTTACATCGGCCGAGCCAATATTTGTCGGGAAAACGTCTCCGAGT